TTTCTGCATGTGGCACATGTTCACCCGTTTCCAAGACCTCTTGACCACATGTCCACTTTGTGACCTGAGAGATTCATAGACAGAGAACATAAAACCACTTGCCCTGGGACACAGGAGAGGGTGGGACAGAACCAGGGGCTGGGAGGGGCAGATTAACAAGCCTTGGTTTTTTTTTTTTTCCCTGATCTCTTCCAGGGAAGGGACCCAGGACCTGCCCTGCCTAAGGCAGTGGTTCTACTTTCACTCCAGTCTGGGCTGGTTCAGCCCACCTGACAAATGGAGATCAAGGAGATCATGGATTGTCCCAAGGCTGGGCAGAAATGACGCTCACTTAGGGAGGCAGTATGGCGTGGAGCAAACCATGGTGGACACATCAGGGCAGATATGGTTTGACCCCAACTCTGCCACTTCCTTCTTACGTGACTTCTGGCAAATTACGTCCTCTCAGAAGCTTAGGAGTTTCTTCTCCTAAAATAGGAGTCATAGCAGCTACCTTTCAGGGTTGTTGTGGAAGGTGTGGAACAAACTGCTGAAGCCCCAAGTCAGAGCCTAGACCACACCCACAGCTACTCTTCCCAGGAAGAGGCACCTGTTCCCAGGGCAGCCTTGGCCAAGAGTCCCCAGAGTGCCTGCAGCTAGGGCATACAGGGGTTCAGGGGTCCCAGGCTTCCTTGCCAGAAGGAACCTCATAGAATTGTTCCAAGGGATGCGACTGGTGTTTGGGATGGTTCCTTGCTGTGTAGGGATGTACTTGCTGCAGAATGTTTAACTCCTCTGTCCCCTGCTCACTGTCTGTAGAGTCTGTCCCCCAGGCCTCCAGCATGACAACTACTAAAAGGGTCCTGCATGTATCCAAACATCCCCAGTCCTGAGGGAGAACCATAAGATGAAGGCTGCTTCATACCCAATCAGAACCAAAAGAGAATGCCTGCCCTCAGCCCAGAATGTGCCTTCAACAGGAGCCCCCCCAAAGAGAGTTTGTGACCACAGCTGGCTCACATCTCCCTTCCCACAGAGTCCCCATGGTCCCCACTGTTCCTCACAGGACTCCCCATATAATAATTTCTCAAATCTCCATTGTCATACCATATGCACTCCTTTAGTAAAGTCCTTTGATCTACAAGGTTTTTAAATTAACGTCCTAGATTGCCACCCTAAAAGAGGAGGTGATTCCCTAATAAGAGAAGATCAGACACCTGAGAAAAGAGAGCTGGACCTCTCTGGGATTCTTCTCCCACACGGTAGAAGGGACACTATCTGCCTACTCCATCCTACTGAAATGCACCATGAGCTGGCATCCACAAGTGTGGGCTACAAGCTATCTGCCTGTTCTCTAAGCAATCCTACCACACACTGATGTTGCAAGGGTATGAGAGCTCCTGCTTGGAAGAAATGTTTGTAACACACATGTTAATRTATGTATATATAAATTTATATACATGTATATATATATAGACATATATATATACATGTATATAAATTACCTGTGTTATAATGAGCACTATTAATGTAATAATTATATGACTAACATAGAATATTAAAGTAGTTAACAGGTACTATTTATAATTACATGGTATATAAATTTAATGCATCAGTTATATGCATGATATATATACATATATATACATACATATGTGCACACACACACACACTAAGAGTGCTCAAAAGTTAATAAAAGTTTTTCCCTGGAGGAAAGACACAAAGAAAATTTTACAAAAGAAGTAAAATAACTTGTGAATTGAGATACCACCTTCCACCTCTCAAACTAGAAACTTTTTTTTTAAACAATAGCCTTGGGTATTCATGAGAGTGTGACACATGGCTGATAGAGTGTGAACTGCAAAGCCTTTCCAAAGGGCAGCTGAGCAATATGTTTTAAAGTTCCCAAAGTATGCATGTTCTTGAACAAAGCAATCATACTCTGTACAAGTTCATCCTTAAAAAATTGGGGGCTGGTGATGTGGCTCAAGCCATAGCCCGCTCGCCTGGCATGCACGCGGCGCTGTGTTCAATCCTCAGCAGCACATACAAAAAGAATAAAGATGTTGTGTCCGCCAAAAACAAAAAAATAGATATTAAAAAATTCTGTCTGTCTGTCTGTCTGTCTCTCTCTCTCTCTCTCTCTCAAAAAAAAAAAATTGGGCTGGGTTTGTGGCTCAGTGGTAGAGTGCTCTCCTTGCACCTATGAGGCACTGGGTTCAATTCTCAGCACCACAAATAAACAAATGATTAAAATAAAGGTCCATCAATAACTAAAAAAAAAAAAAAAACTGGGGTTGTGGCTCAGTGGTAGAGCGCTCACCTAGCTCCTGCGGGCCCTGGGTTCGATCCTCAGCACCACAAAAAAATAAATAAATAGAATGAAGGTATTGTGTCCAACTACAACTAGAAGATGAATATTTAAAAAGAAAGTACTTAGGGATTTATTTTTATCATTGCTTGTTAATGATAAAAACTAAAAGCCTCAATAATCAAAAACAGGAGGTTGATTAAATATTTTATATATAGCACAAAACAAAGCTAATATTATTAAATAGCAGATTTCCAAACATTACAATTGCATTTTCTTTAAAAATTTTTGTCTATGCAAAAATGTACTAGAAAGTACATATAAGAAATATTAACATTTGGCCTGATAAGATTTACAGGTGATTTTTTTAATAATCTGCATATTTTCTAAAATATCCATACTGGCCTAAAATTTCTAAAATGTCTCTTATTACAATAATTCYATTTTGTAATATGTTTATGTATGAACATATCACATCACCCCAAGAACACAAATTCCCTGAGTACAAGTCCTAAGTCTGATTTATCTTCATGACCTCCCCATTATGTTAGTTTAGTGCCCTGAATACTTACAACAATTACTATTTATTTAATTTTTGCCTTGTGGAAAGCATTGTGCTAAATTGTATCTTTTAATACAGTGAAGTTCAATAATCATTTGTTGAAGAAAGGAGGGATAAAAGGAGAACAGATAAAAAGAAGTGAATTAATAAATGCCCAGCAACCTGAAATGAGCTGGCAGCTATCTCAAATGGAAGTGACAAGATCACTTTTGGGTCCCTTTCTAACCACCAGGCCATACCAGTCTGCTAGACCATCCCTTCTAATGGTGAGGGACAGGATTAGGAGGAGGAGAACCATGCTATGATCCTGGATTTTAGGAAGCCACACTTTTTGCAGGATAAGATCTGGTGAGAACTAGTACTTTAAAAAAAAAAAAATCACTTCTGAAAGTTTTCCAGCAGAGTCAAGAAAACCAATACTAACATGAAAATGACATTTTAAATAAATGCTTTTGACCTTGACAACTTTTAATTCATTTCTATAAATGATCCCTGAGTGCCCACCATCATGTCTCCATTGGAGCAGAGAAAAAAATAAATAAGCACAGTGTCATCTTTCATAATGCAATGAAGACCACAGGTGCCAAACCAATGCCAGGCAGGGTGTAAGCTATGGTGGAGTACCCCTCCCCACCAATGGGCAGTGTGCAGTGGATGTTCTTTCTGATGGGGATGGAGAGACCCAGAGGTAGCAAATGAGAGCAGACATTTGGAGGGCAGACAAGATTTCTCAATGCCAAGTTGGGGGAATGGCATTCCTGGCTGCAGGACAGTCAAGGCAAAGTCTCTAAGCTGTGGGGCTGGAGTTGTAGCTCAGTGGTAGAGTGCTTGTCTCACACAGGTAAGGCCTTGGGTTTGATCCTCAGCACCACATTTTTTAAAAAAACGATAAATAAAATGATGGTATTGTGTCCATCTACAACTAAATGTATATTTTTTAAAAGTCTAAGGGTTGAGATAGGGTATGTTTGGGGAAGGACATGTGTTGAGTCCATGCCCTAGAAACCTCGGGCCACTTCAGAACAAGCAAAACTGGCCCAGAAATGAGTTGCTCATCATCGGTCTCATTTTCCCCCAGCACTTTCCCACCACACCTCCAAGCAGGTGCAGCACACCAAAAAGCAAATTAACATGCTCCCCCATTTTCAAAGTCTCTGGAGTTCAGATCAGATTTAAAGCCACAGAAATCTGAGTGCTCCCAGAAATAGGAATGCAAGAGTACCTCCTAAGCACCTGTCCTTATGCTGCTGTTCTCCAAATGCTGACATCCACAGAGCCCCCTGCCACTAACTGGGCCTCCCAGGTCTGCTCACCCCCAGGAAGAGGAAGACACAAGACCTTGAGAAATTGTTTCAAAACAGTGGATGCGTAAGACCAAGAAACACATCTTGGACAGATATCTTCAAATGCTCAGCCTCCAGAGGGTGAGCTCTGTGGTCCAGCTCCCTGAGGACAGGAACAGTTAGGGGCAGAAAGAAAGCAGGAGCCACTTCGAGTTCGGAAGACTCCAACACTCGCCTCCAACATTCGGCTCAGGGACACCACAGCTTTTTCTCAAATATTTCAGTAACATGATATATTATCCCTCTCTCCCTGCCTGCATCCTGCGTCTCTCTCAGAGACTCTGAATGGGTTTCTTCTTCTAAGTCTCTCCTCTCTCCTCTCTCTCCCCCCTGTGTCTTGGCATTTCTATCTCTAACCTGGTGCCTAGATGCCTAAACGTCTTTGCCATTCTGTCCCTGTGAGTCTCTTTGGTCACTGTCTTTCTGTCGCTTTTCTATCTTCCCTCCTTAGGTTTTCCTATCTCCATCATTCCATCTCTCTGTGTCCATCGCTGTCTGTATTCTTCCTCTTCTGGATTTTGTTATTCTATTCGCTGCAAGAAAATCGAGCAGTTCAGAGAAGTATGATCCTGAAATCTGGCTCCTGCGGGATGCAGGTTGATGGGTGCCTCATGGACAACCCCCGGCGCAGCTTCCTGTCTATGTCAGTGGCTCCCAGGTGCTCCTGCCTGTCGTGCACAGTCCTGGCCCAGGCCGACCCATGATCCCTCCACACACACCCCTGCTTAGATAGTGACCCTCACCACCACCGGAAAGGGTGTTTGCCTAAGCCAGGCGTCGGACACCGGGGATGGAAAGTTCTCACCGATAGTGAAGCTGTAGCCATCGATGCTGAAAGTGGCGCTCCGGCATTTTTTGAAGCCCTCCTTCCTGTTGCTGGCGTCCGTCATGGCTCAGCCGGACGGGCAGGGTCCAAGCAGCTGGCCAGCTGCCTCCAGGGATCCCCACCGCTAAGCGCACGGCCCCGCGCCGGGCTCTCGCCGGCGTCCCCTCTCCCGGCGCGCCGCGCGCTGTCACGCGCAGACCCGCGCTAGTTGCTAGTAGAGCGCGCCGGCTGCAGGCACCGGGACCCAACGTCAACTAGTGCACCAGGCACACGGCRGAGTCAGCGAGCCATCGAAACCGCCCCATCGCTAACGGCCAGTTCCAGATACCAGGAGAGGAGAGTTACTAAGGCGAGACGCAGCGCGCGGGTGCCTGTGGACCCGGCGGGTGGGTGGGTGCCGGAGTCCCGCCTTTCCCGCTCTACTCCCTGGGAGCCGCGGAAGCCAGAGCGCTATAGGCACGTCTGTTTTCTATTTCAGCTTCGCCTTCCCCTCTCTGGAGGCTGGTGGGGTTTGAGGACCCAAGGGAATGGCTGAGATTTGGCGTYGTGCTTCTTCAAATATGTTTTCTCTGGCCAGAGAGCTCCCCAAAAGCACATCAACAGATGGAAAAGCAAACATCTTAGCCGTCAGATGCTGCCAAAGTTTACTCCAAACAAGGAAGTCCAGAAGATCGCCACGCCCACTTCCTCCCACAGCTGTCCCCAGAACTCCTCTGAAGCCCCGATAATACACGACTTCTCAACAGTCCCTGGCCAGAAGATGATTATCAAAGTGACCCATATTGGTGGACAAGCGTTTTCACCCGGAGGCTCTAAGATGTGCGATTCACAAGCGAGTTTTGAGTAGCTCCGTTCTTTCAAAGTTGGGTTTGCCAAACATGATAAGATTCCTGGCATTTGCAGACCTGGGAAAGATCTTACCAATCTTGGAGCTAACGTTTTTTATGACAGAAGACGAAACTGAGTTTGAGAAGAGCTTGAGGAAGGTGCTTCAGCTAGAAAGTGGAGAGAGTGGAAGAGAAGTTTTACTTTATTGACCCCAAATCTGTTGTGCCTTTCTGAGTTAGGCAAGGCTTGAACAGGGGAAATCATTCCTGGCAGCCAGCAAGCAGTTACTGAAGATTTGCAGCCACAGTGCTCTGTGTTGGGTGCTGAGGAGGCGTCCGTTCTGGGTAACACAGGGAATGAAGGTGCTATGCCCAAGCTCTCTTGGGACTACAATTAATGTAACCTCATTGGGGGAGGGGAGGATGGTATTTGACACAATAAACACTTGTCAATAAAAGTTAAGCAGGTGTATGTCTACTTGATTCCAGTGAAGTTTAGAGGACAGTGATCTTCAGAGTCTAATAAATTAGAAAACCTCTCCAAACACACACACACACACACACACACACACACACACACACACACAAATTTCAGGAGACCCATAAAGTCCTAAAGCCCATAGAAACCTAGGTTAATGTACATCTCAGAAATTTAGCCTTCTTCAATTCACCAAATATTTTTAAAGAAATTGATTTTTTTTTTAATGTCAGAGTGTAGTTGGTATTTCAGTTTCAAATTCCCTCATGGAAGACCCAGAACTACACAAGATAGTTTGATTAGGTTGGTGGCAAGATTGATTAATCATAAAGGCAATGGGTGCCATGAATATGGTGTCATGCAGAGTAGCCCTTCTCAACATGGGAGCCATGATGTAGTCCTTAGAGTATAAGGCTCATGTCTGGAACTGGTTACAATGCACATACAGACCTGGGTCTGGAATCTGGATCCACCGCTTACCAGCTACATAACCTTGAGCAAGACGCTCAACACCCCTGAGTCTAGCTGTCCTCATCTTACAATGAGAGTGAAGAACGCCACTATGTACAGGCATTCATTTAGGGCATTCACCTGACTCTCAAGTTTCATTACGAAGACACTACAAAATTCTCCACAACAATACTTTGCTTATAGGTGCCACCATTAATTTTATAAGAGAAATTTTATATGTAACATGTGTATGTATGTGTGTGCATATGACAATATATTTTATTATAGTAATCACCAAAATTTTCTTGTAATTTCCACTTCCTTGTATCTTTTCCATATTCCCAAACCTTTAAATGAGACATATGCTTTTTTTTTTTTTTTGAGCCAAGGAAAAGTCCTGGAATGAGGAACCTGAAAACCCTGAGTTAATCTTCTATAGTAAATTATCAAGGAAAAAAAACTAATGTGATGGAAATTTTTCTTTGAGTGAAATTAAAACTTTGCATTTAATCACTCTTAACAGAAAAGCTTCTTGAAATATAATCTATAAAAATAATAACAATGTGATCATTTATCTGTCCCCTCAGTCTGGTAAAAATAACTTGCCTGAACAATTAGAACTGTTTTTAAACTGCTTCTCCCCAGAATCATTATCTCTCTCCCTGGTTTTAGAGATTACACACCTACAGAACCACTAAATGTGTTGCTTCCAATCTTAAAACAGCCTTCTCAGTGCAGGGCTCTTACACCAAACCATGCCAAGCTCAATGCTACATTACATAAGCCAAGGAAGAATGAGGTCAAGACTGAGATCAAAAGACACTTGGCTAATGCTTGCTCTTTCAGAAATGTTCCCTTGAGAAAGCCTGTGGAGTAGAAAAACCAAGACATCCAAGCAGAGTTGAGTAGTTGTGCCTAAAACCAGGTGACCTGTAAAGCCAATACCTGTACCATCTGACCCTCCCATAAAATGCTTCCTGACTTCAGGATTATAGCATGTCATACACCTCATACCTGCCAGGGATTTGGGGTAACTTTTGGTTTTATTATATTTACTTTAAAATTTAAGTTTGTAAAGGGATGGATCTTTTTTTAAATACTGAACTGGATTCTAACAAGAAAGGCACAGTGTTAAATATTTGAGGAATGAATGAAGAAAAGAAGGAAGATACATATCGTTTGATCTGGTCGTTAGCTGAGATTAGTTAAGATTAATTTCTCCTAAGAAACAATGTGAACCTGACCTCRTCTCTAGATAGAAAAGTAGGAACTGAACACAAGGCCCTTATCAGTTCATGGGTCAAATGATATCCTTCAAAATATAACTATATGACAAAACACACACACACACACTCACACACACTCACACACACAGAATATAGCGGGTTATACAAAAAATAAAAATCTTGGGAATCCAACTCAGGTGCTAATCAAGTCTTTTGATTAGTCAAAAGACTTGATTCCCCGTGGATCTGTTGATAGAATCCACTACCTATTTCTATGTAGGAGAATAGGTATTAACAGAAAGTACTTGCTGCTGATTTGGGGGGTTTTATAGTTCTAGAAAAAGGGGAGACACTATATTTATAATATGTTATCAAAAACTGAGCTAAGACCTATAATCCCAGCAGCTCAGGAGGCTGAGTCAGGAGGATCACAAGTTCAAAGCCAGGCTCAGCAACAGCGAGGCACTAAGCAACTCGGTGAGATCCTGTCTCTAAATAAAATACAAAATAGGCCTGGGGATGTGGCTCAATGGTTGAGTGCCCCTGAGTTCAATCCCGGTACCAAAAAAAAAGAGCTAAGAAAATGACTTTTTATTTTGCATGCCAGATAGAATTTCATTAATGCCCTGCAGCCATTCTCAGGTAGGACGCTGCCTAAAATTTGGAATTCTCCCAGCAACCAGTGGTCCAAGATTGCAAACCCAATTTACCCAACACAGTTCCTGGCACAGAATAAACCTTTGAAAAAAATTCAATAAATTAAAAATTGAACAAAGATGTAAAAGGCAAAGTTACACAGCCAGGTAGTGATATGCTCTGTCAGTCATTCTTTCTCTTTACTCACCCTCTACATTCTTCTATGATGAGCTTTGGAGGCAGTTCCAAACACAACTCCAAAATAAGTAGGCTTTAAAAAATATAAAATTTTTAAAATAAAATAGAAAACTCCACAACTTGCTAGCTGTATGACCTTGGACAAGTTGCTTAGCCTCTCTGAGTCTGAATTTGTTCCTTTGTAAAACAGAGTTATAATATTTATCTCATAAGAAATATGTGAATTTTAATGAAATAATTTAATGCTAAAGACTTAACTCAGGCCTAACCCATAGTAAAATTTCAATAAATATTATTTTTAATACCAGCATCATCATTATGTGCTTCAAATAGGATCCATAATCAGAGGCAAGAGGAACAGGCTTAGAACTCTCTCACATCTGGATCCAAGGCTCCAGAGTATCACCCGTTGAGCAATGGAGCCAGAAATTCTAGGCCTCCATCATTCAACTGAGCTGCAGAAACTCTGAGGTTTTCTGAGAATTAGAGTCTAGACATTAGACAGAGCCTGGCTCAGGGCACTCTCAGAAGATGCAAGATCCAGCCTCCATCACCAACCCCATTCCATGACACTTCTGTCATCTATGCTTTGCTGCATTTAGTAGATATGCTGTGGTCCTCACCTCCCGGGTCTCTTGGCAGCATTGGACTTGTGGACCATGGTTACACCTACAAGCCTTTGTTTTCTGGACATCCAGGCCACAGCTTGCTCCTGGCTTTTCTTCTAGATCTCCAGCCAATTCCCTTTCTGATGAGGTTGACCATTGTGTTCCCTCTCCTCTGAGTGATTCTCTTCACTCTTGATGACTCTGTTAATGACTGTCAAGCACCTGTGTCCAGCCTGGATCAGGTTCCTGAGCAACCTTCTTTCCTTTCAGAAGGTCTTACAGGCAACTTGACCTCTATTCGGCCAATCAGAACTCTTTATCTCCCCCCATTCCTCACCCAGAGTTCCACTCGGGTGGGGGGTTCTGCACCCCTTCTCATGCCAGTCCAGCCTTTACTATCCTCTCCCCAGCTGCCCTATTGGAGGAGAATTTCTCAGCTGACTGGTTGGAGTTTCCAGGCATTCCTTGGGTCAAATTCACCAGGGAAAGTCTCTTCTGAACCATAAGGGCCTTCTCCCTGGGAAGCAGCCCCATTCCAGGACAAGCACAGAGCTCAGGGAGTGGCACATGGGCTAAGTGYTACTTCTTCTGCTTCCTCAAGGTCAGGCATTTCTGGGTTGCTAGCCATAACGTTCCCAGAATATCATCCAAGCTGACTCTTCACCTCCAATGGTGCCATTCCTGTAAATAGTCATTCTGACCACTCAACTGTCAAATCAGAACCCGCGAATCATTACTGTCCCCTCTATCTTTCTCATCTAAACAGCCACTCATTCCTGGCAGAACCACTTCCTCGGTGTGTCTGGCATCTGTCCTCATGCACCCCTCTGTGGTCCAGGCCACCACTATCACTCACATTTTTGCACTTCTGTATATTTATGTTTTCTAGTTACAGAAAGAAAGAAATTATATGTCACAAGATGATGCAATGTTTAACTACTACATGAATTAGATTTGGGGYTTGCTTTCTAAAAGCCAGAGTGATAACATAGGATTAAAATGATCTCTGCTCTCAACCAGTAACGGGCCACTTGAAAAAGAAGAGTCCTTTAGGAAAATTAAGCTTGATTTTCATCATGGTAGTGGGCTCAGGTACACTGGTCACAATAGYCCCCCATCTCCCCAAGCAGCTTGCTTTCCGCCTGTCCTAGTAGCCAAAATAAAAATGGAGTCATATCCTTCCTCTGCTTAAAACCCCTCAGTGACTCTTCATCATTCTAGAGAAAATTTTAGAATAAAGTAAAATCTCCTTACTTTGTCTTGTAAGGACCTACAGAATCTTGGAGGAAACTGGGGAGCATAAGTG